CTAGCACCCTTACTACACCTTTAATCTCCGTCCAACTGAAAAGCGTTTTTGTGGCTTCATCTGTGAGCTTCTCTTCTGTTATGTCATCATCATAATGTGATGTTGTTAAGCTGCAGGCTCTGTTATACTGTCTCTGCCTGGCCTGCTGAATGAATGCACAGTAAAGCATATGAAAACACTGCTGCACCAGTGTTAGAAAAATGATCTGCTTATTGTTTACGCTGATTTTAGTTCATACTTTTACCTGTTGTGATTTATTCTGATCTTTAATCATCACAAACACAACGCATCTATAATGAAGCTGCTGTGAGTAAAGCCCTGTGTCAAGTTTACTGTGTCATCAGCACCTGCTCTTAAACCAAACAGTGTTCACTGGTTACACTGGTTATGATGGGGAGCTGAGGCCCATTTTAAACGAGTGAGAGAATCTTTGATCAGTGTGAATATTTTTAATGACTGTTGTTGCAAATGATCCACATTTTTGTGTTCACCTGTGTGTACTGAATATTATTATGTGATGTACATGTTGTGATGATTTTAATCTGGATAAAGGACAATGAACAAAACAAATGCTGCACATCGTTGGCTGACCTGCCATCCAGGAGAAAAACAATGATAAGATAAGAAGTGCGACGTGAGCTGTGAAGTTCTGATAAATACAGAAAAGGTTTACAGCAGACATCAACATGCTGGCTTGTAGAGCTGTAACAGACCATCTTAATGTTGTTTGTGGTTTAAAAAGTGTGTTTTGTGTCTTTGATTAAACACTACAACACTACTTTGTTGAATGTATTGTGTGTAATGAACTTCAGACTTTCACAGATCTTATAGTAGAAACAATGAGCTTTGTCAATAACACTAAAGGACTAATTAGAACAGAGAGAGGTTTCATTTTGAATTTGTTAAAATAAAGTAGGTACTATATCCCTTTATTGTGTTTATGCTCGTTGTCTTTCATTGTCAGAATTCCTGCGGCCTTAACACGGTTAAAGGAAACACAGTTTTGTTACTCACACTGCTGTCCGTGCATTACCCTGCAGAGTTTTGTGTGATAATTAAAATGTTCAGATCAGTCAGAGTGGACACGAAACTGTATTTCATTTGCAAGCTTGCTGATAGAAACGAGGGTCAAGAGTCCTGCATGCTTTCCCTGGGTGCCAACACTAACAGTCTCCTCATATATAAAGAAGGACAGAAGGACTCTGGCCAAAATAACATCTCTGATGGACAGAGTCTGCCACCCCATGCATGTAAATGTTGCTGCAGAGCTGCTTCAGTGACAGACTGCTGCATCCTCGATGCATGAAGGAGCGTTTCTGCAGCTCCTTCCTCCCTGCAGCTGTCAGACTGCAC